CTAGGTCCTCACCGGGATAAGATATGAATAGGGGTGGTAAACGGTAACCGGTAAACCGTTTGCCAGCGGTATCGGCAGCCGAGCGGGAAGTTGGGGGAGTCGGTTTATCGGACACGGTATCGGTAAATACCGATGGTAAATCGGTAATACCGATACCGAAATCCCCCCTCCCTACTCCACTAACATATAACATATACATCATATTCACAAATAGAAAATATTACATACATGAATGTAAGTAAGTATAGGCCTCAAAAATATTGTAAATAAGAGTTAATAATAAATTATTAATTACAAAAATGATGAAAAAAACTTAAAAAAATCAAAATATTACAACATCACCCCACTTCCAGAAATTCGGTTCGGTAAATATTCGGTAAACTGACCGAAAAACCCCCCGAAATCGCTTCTCACGGTATTTCGGTAATACCGGTTTGTAACCGTTTACCGGTAATCGCTAAACCGGTTACAAACCGGTATCGGTAATCGGTAACCAATTTGACCAACTTCGGTATACCGAAACCGGTAAATTCGGTAAACAATTTACCATTTATCGACTGAATCCCACCCCTAGATATGAACATGCAAAATGTGAATGAATCGCTCACTCTCAACCAGTGGGGTCAGGACCATTTGATGCAAGAGATGCACATCATCAACACTCAGCCCTATCGTCTCTTCACCAAGGCGGCAACCTCTAAATGCTAGAGTTCACAAGAGGGTTGTCATTACTAGCTTGTCCTGAGGTCTTAAACACGAGTTCAAATGACTAGTAAGGTCTTGGACATGGGGAAAAGACCATTTGGGTGGTGGCAAGCAAAGCATGGGGTTCTACATCTTCAACATAAAACCAAAGGTTCTATGGTTTCGACTAGAACCTTTGTGTCAATAAACATCCACTAACATCGGCCAAACCACACTTCCCTTCTTCCAAACCAATACCAATCACGAACTACATTCAAATACACTTCCTCGACTCATCCTGCTATCCAAATTTTAATCATAGTAGTGAAAAAAAGTCAAAAATCAATTAGGTGTTTCTATGGCTTGAGTGCCAAGAGACCATTTCTAGAGCATACACATAATTCTCTATGGCAACTCTCTATCTTTTATTTACCGCGTTTATTACCTCTTTTTCAATTCTCTATTAAGACCTTCATGCAACACTACCTTCCTAGCAGGAACCGTGCAAAATCGACCTATGTAGAACCTCAATGGAGCTCAAAAGCGAGAACTCTGAGACACAAGGATGAATCACAACGGTTTAGACATAAAGAAGGGGGGGGGGGGGGTCGTCAATCACCATTATGCTCAAAAATCTCAAACTCCTAACATGAGAACGGCCCCAAGTCAGACGGCTCAAAGGGGTTGACTAGGGGATAAGATGTTTCAGGACAATCAACTTTTGGGTGTGGACTAATCCTATGCCTCCTTCATACTCACTAATGACAACGTGAATGTTACTCGCCATGGTAATAGGGATCTATCACACATGAAAAAGACGATCGACACAAATCTCACGTGGCTACCTAATCACCCAATCATCTATTCCAATTTCACAAAGTTTGATGTACGGCAATTGTAATCAAAGAGTAATCAACTCAAGATATCCATTCATTTGCACACACATGATAACTAAGTTTTCGCACCAACCTAATGCAATTCTCAATCATCATAATAGGATGCATTTGATCACAAGCAATCAATCCAAGGTCAATGCCAATAAACACAAGATTCTCCCACAAATCGGCCACTTTGATCAAGCATTGACACACACATTCATATGCCAATCACAATTGATACACCCCACACTTAAGCACGACATTTTCCTCAATGGAGAAAAGGGTAGGGTGAAGAAGTTACCGAAAAATTGGCAAGTAAAAGTTGGACATAGGTCGGGGTAGGAGATTTTGAGCTTCAAAAAGAAGAAGTAAACACACAAACACATGCACATTCTCGCTCGTACACATAACAATATTCAACATCACGATAAGAAGAAGAAAAACTCACTATAATACTTGTTCACACACTAAAGAAAAATAAAAATAACAAAGTTCAGAGTTACAAGTGGGAGAAGTGGGGCGAAGAAATCGGCTCTGCCACGTGTCTTACTCGATCGACCACCTCTCTCGAGATGTAGATGGGTGCTCCTCTTCGTCGGACAAGACTCCCTGACGTCGAGCCATTCGCTCTAGCAAAGTATGGGAGCTATCCAATCATGTGGAGACCCTCGTGAAATGCTCCTCGAGGCGAGTTACTCGATCCTTGAGGTGGCCCACTAATGAGGAAGCACCGGCTTCTGTCGATGATGATGGTAGTGGTGGTGGTGCAGGCTGTCGACGGCGGCGCTGGGGTTGCTGAGAAGGTGGAATCTCTGGAGGAAACCCTAGTGGTATGAAAAGGCCCTCAATGCATCGGTATGGTCTAAAGCCTTTGAGCAGGTGCATAGCACTCAAGGTCTCCTCCAAAAATTGAGTAGTTCGCCCTTGTTTCGTGCAACCACTCAAAGGCGAGGAAAGCTCTTTTAGTGATCTTGTTGGTTGACTTGCCCCTCAAGAAGATGGAATGGGCGAGAAACGCATTAATGACAGGCCATTGACCCTTGAGAGTGGTAGTCGTAGTATGCGCTGGATCGAAACGGTCTCATCGATGCGAGGGGAGGCAGATCTTCTTGAAGGCCGCATTGGCGTCGAAGTCCTGGATGACATCCACTTCTGGCTCCGTCTTTGGTTCATCCTCCACCCTCATTTCTTGTGAAAGCTCATCAAACCTCATAACTTGAGGTGTACCATCCAAGAAGAATATGACCTTAGGTTCACGGTCCCCGAAAGAATTCTTCTGCTTGGAAAGGGCGAAGTTGTGAAGAATTCGACGCAGATTTCCTCGAAGATGTCGTCCTCAATTTTGAGGAATCGACGCCATTGAGGATTCTCCACAACTTCTCTCATGGTATCTCCATAGTTCAACGCATCGAATTTTCGAAATTGAGTTGCCAATGAAGCCCAAACTGAGCCTTCCTCCAAAATCTCACGCTACTTTGGAATGCAGGTGCCGTTGGAATCGCTGCAAGGTACGGGTGATTATGATCAACCATCCTGCAAAAACATCAAAATGATATCCCATGGATACAATGATATCCAATTGAGCTAAATTTGGCAAGCAGCCCATGGAGACAATGAGGAAGCATTCACCAAAATGCAGCCTATTTGGTGACCAATAAGGCCTTAAACGGAGTGCAAATCCAATGAAGTCATGCTCCAAAAGCATCCAAATTTTCGTCGGTACTCAATGTCAACACAATCAGTAATAACTCCTTTTGGCCAATGACTTTATTATGTGTATACAGCTTCTCCCTCCTGTAATTAGTATATAGGGTTTAGGCTAGAGCCTTTAGACACACATTTTACACACACTCTGCCCTAGCGGGCATGAGTAGCAATCCATATAGAGGAGGCAAAGTTCTAATTAAGTTCGAAGATGATGCCTCCACTATTAAGGGCTTCATTTTCTCTTATGGAGTGATAGCTCTATATTGTATACGGATGTGAATTATATGTTGTTTTATGCATCTACTTTATATGGTTTAATAAGATGCCTTTATAATTCGATGCTTTGATCATTCGATGCCTAAATCATATGGTGTTTTACTCATCTAATGCTTTATCATTCGATGATTTAGTCATTGTATGTTTTAGTTATTCCATGCTCTATATAATCTATTGTATGATATTAGAGTCATCGTTTATAATATCATGTTTTGTTGTTAGGAAACTCCTCCTATGTGATATGTTTCTATCCTATCCATGTATATTTAGTTGGTGACATAATTATGCATGCTTGTATTTGGTTTATGTTTAATTCTTAGATCATCGATGCTACAAAACATGGTTATGGCTCATAGAGGCGCACACTCATCAATGTTTTTCTATACTTACTTTCTTGATTTACAGATTGGTTAATAGCATGAAGCGAAAGCACGAATTAGCTAGTTGTAGTTTCTTCGCATGTTCCAAAAGATCAGTTAGGAATGCTTTAGTGGACGAGACAGGGTTATATAATAGAGATAAGCTGCCTAAACAATATTTTTATTTACTTGCTTATTGTAAATCTTTCCTAAAAAATAGGAACTCAACCATCTATAGGGAATCTCAACCAGTCATATTTACTTTTATTGGATTGTTATCTTAGGCACAAGTGATTAGGTTTGCGTTAGGGGTGAACAAACACACCCGCTAACTGACCCACACGTTCAACCCGACACAACTCACCCGTATTTATCGCTAAAACGAATATTTTGGGTTGGGTGAGGGTTTTCTTTTGTACAACCCACCTCTTTTGGGTTGGGTTTGGATTTTGGATTACACAACCCGTAGAACCCGACCCAACCCGTGTTACAACTATTGGTATGAGTTCGTATCAAAAAATATTTATGTCGTATATAACCATACTTAAGAGTAAATTAAGATATTTTTCCATGGTTTTCTCTCATGGTCTCTCTAATCTAATGCATTCTTCGACTTAAAGTTTAGACATAAATTTAATATAGCTATGATTCACGTAATCCTTTTTCTTGTGTACAATTTTAATAGAATAACATATTATGGATGCGTTCGTTTATAATTCAACAAATGTCGGGAAAAAAATTAGACGTATGTTGAAACAAATCACATTTTATTAAAATTCAAACAACATTTGTGAATTTTGATACCTTTCACCTTGATTTATTCGTTTGAAATTTTAATTAGTTATAAAATATTTTTATGCCGTAGAATAATTGCATATTTTGTGTTGGGTGGGATTTTTATTTAAAATTATCGCCAAACCAACCCAATCCAATTGAAAACAAACAGTAGGGTTTAATTTTTTTTTGGGTGGATTTGGGTTTAATATTTTCCAAACCAAACATCATCGGTTTGACAAAACCAAACCAAATTACCTAACAGAACTCCGAAATAATTTGTGGTCCTTTGTTCGTTATCCTCTGCTCTGCATATGCAGCAATGGTGATTCATGATCCCCTCCATCTCTTCAACGCCTCTCTTCTTCTTCCCGCACCTCTCAATCCAAATCCCAACTGCAAAACCCCAAAACGCTCCATCAAACCCTTCCGCACAACCACCATCAAATCCTCGGTCCACCCTGACCCTTGGTCCTTGAGCGACGGCAACAACATCTCTAAACCAAAGCCCAAATCTAAAAACCCCAAGAACCCTCTCTCCGACGACGATGCCCGCCGCATCATCAACGGCAAAGCTCGCTACCTGAGCGCATTACGGAAGAACCAGGGCCCTCACGCCCTCACCCCCAAATGGATCAAGCGTACACCGGAGCAAATGGTCCAGTTCCTCTCCGACGACCGCAATGGCCATCTTTACGGGAAACATGTCGTCGCCGCCATCAAGGCCATCAGGGGGTTAGCTGGCAAAAAAGAAGCTGACCGCGATGTTAGGTCTCTCATGTCCGGATTCGTCGGAAAATTGAGCTTCCGAGAGATGTGCGTCGTTCTCAAAGAGCAGCGAGGCTGGAGGGAAGTTCGCGATTTCTTCGGCTGGATGAAATTGCAGTTGAGCTATCGTCCGAGCGTGATCGTCTACACAATCGTTCTCCGGCTGTACGGCCAAGTTGGGAAGATTAAATTAGCAGAGCAGACATTTCTGGAGATGCTGGAAGTTGGATGCGAGCCTGATGAAGTCGCTTGCGGCACCATGCTGTGTTCGTACGCTAGGTGGGGGAGGCACAATGCGATGTTGTCGTTCTACGAAGCCTTGGAAGGAAGAGGGATCAAACTCGCCATTGCTGTTTACAACTTCATGCTGTCTTCGTTGCAGAAGAAGTCTCTCCATGGACGGGTCATTCATCTTTGGAAGGAAATGGTTGGCGAAAGAGTAGCTCCTACTGCTTTTACCTTTACCATTGTGATCAGTTCTTTTCTCAAGGAAGGTCTTCACGAGGATGCATTCAAGGTGTTCGACGAAATGAAGCAACAGGGGCATTTGCCGGAGGAGGTTACCTACAGCTTGCTGATTAATGCCAGCACGAGAAGAGGAGATTGGGATGAAGCCCTGAAGTTGTATGATGACATGAGGTCTTGTGGAATCGTTCCAAGTAACTTCACTTGTGCTTCACTTTTGACATTATATTACAAGACTGAAGATTACTCCAAGGCACTTTCCCTCTTCTCTGAGATGCAGCGAAGGAGAATTGCAGCTGATGAAGTCATATATGGTTTGCTCATAAGAATCTATGGCAAGCTTGGGCTTTACGAGGATGCCCATAAGACGTTTCGTGAGATGGAGCGACTGGGTTTGTTGAGCAAAGAGAAGACTTACTTGGCTATGGCCCAAGTGCATCGTGCTTCTGGGAATTATGAGAGCGCTTTGAGTGTTGTAGAACAAATGAAGTCCAGGAAGATTCGGCTGTCTAGGTTTGGTTACATTGTCCTCTTGCAGTGTTATGTTATGAAAGGGGATGTAGAGGCTGCTGAGTTTACGTTTCAAGGATTGTCGATGACTGGATTGCCTGATGCTCGGTCTTGCAATGACATGCTGAGTCTGTATGCAGCATTGGGTTTGACTCGAAAAGCTAAGGAGTTTGTTCTTCGGCTGAGGCAAGATGATCAGTTTGAGTTTGATGAGCAATTGCATAAGACGGTTGTAAGATTGTTTGGCAGGGAGGGTGTGCCGAGAGATGCCAAACTGTTGATAGAGGGGATATAGGGGAGATAACCTGAATAGAGATGTAGCCTGCTACCCTTGTGCAATCAGTTACTGTCATTATCGGAGGTATGCATTAGGAAGAGTATAACTTCCTCCCCTCCACCCAGCACAATACCCATCAGACAGTCAACTGCTACTTGATGTTAGGCATGGAGGAAATTATCATGTGATGATTATACCAGAAAATTGAATAAGAGAGTGAGCGAAGGATATGGTTGACTGCAAGATCTGCTGCAGGATGAGGCACTGCGTGGAAGCTGCTTCTGCAATGCGCACCTTGGTTACTGCCAATGTGATTGATTGCTAAGAGGGAAGCAGTGCACAACATTGCAGACAACGGGACAAGCAGAAAGCAACCACCAATGTTGTTTCGGAGTCTATCCTATTCCAGCCAGCTATGGAACTGACTAACCTGGCTGTTCAAGCAAATCGACCTACTTTTGGTGGTTGCTGGAGCTTCCTGCTCCTGCTTTAATTTAATTATTATATGAGGCAAACATAACTTTTCTCCAGATCAGGGGGATATTATAAACGTGTAACGCGAAGACCCTTTAAATATAAGCTAATATAACTTTTGTAAATCCATCACTCATCCGTCGTAGTAATTGCGAATATTTACCAACCAAAGAAATTGTCATCCATCATTCTTCCTACCGGGGTTAGAGCACTTACTTGTTGGAAGCCATAAGACTAACTCCAATCCAAAAAGCTATATTTAGCCTCCCAAGCTCTCAAATGTGCATATTTGCCTCCCCAAAACACTTTTTTGCTCCAACTCTATAGGCTTCCAAATTTAGCTTCCCACATCTTTTTTTGATTTAATTTCCATAATCCATACTTATTTACAATATGATTCTTGTAATTCACTTTAATTTTTTTTATAGTTTGTTATTACTTGTGAAAACAAAATTTTCGATGTAATTTTTTTTAATTCCGAGATAAATTTTTTATTTTTGCAAAATTAGTCATTTTTTGTAGCCGTTACTTTATGACCGTTTTTTTGGACCAATCCAAATATGACCGTTTTTTTTTGCCGTTACTTTATGACCGTTTTTTTTGTCGTTTTGTGCATCATATGTGTTTATAAATTACAATTCTTCATTTTTCATCGACTCACTGAAACTTCTTTCCATTTCTAAAACAAACACATTCATCATGAGTATGTCAGATAGCTCATCGTCGGGAGGAGAAGAAGAAATCGAAGAGTACGAGAGGTTTCACCACCTACGGTTGAGTTTAATCGGCCGGAGGCTGGCTGAAGGTTCATCAAGTCGACGTCAAACTACAAGTCGACGTCACATTGATCGTGAAAGGGTCGAATGTAATCGCCGTCTTATGAGGGAATACTTCGATCCAAATCCAGTATACAATGCTCGCATATTTAGAAGGCGCTATCGGATGCAACCAAGATTATTCCATCGCATTATGGGCGACATTGTGAGGTTTGACCCCTCATTTGCTCTACGGCGTGATAGCTTGGGTCAATTATCATTATCTCCATAGCAGAAGCTTACTGGTGCGATGCGCATGCTAGAATATGGTTCTCCAGCTGATCAACTTGACGAGTATGTTCGTATGGGTGAGAGCACTTTGATGGAGGTCTTCAGAAAGTTCTGCAACAACATTATCAACATGTATGGGGACACATATCTTCGCGCACCTACTCCTGCCGATTTAAGGATCTTACTCAGTAAAGCCTCAAGACGTGGCTTTCCTGGAATGATTGGATCAATTGACTGTATGCATTGGGAATGGAGGAATTGTCCAAGTGGCTGGGCAGGACAATACACCGGCCACATGCATAGGCCAACAATCATTCTAGAGGCGGTGGCCTCCTACAACATATGGATATGGCATGCTTTCTTTGGGTCTCCTGGATCGAACAACGATATAAATGTTCTGGGGATGTCGCCAGTGTTTGATCGTATTGTCAATGGAAGCGCTCCACATGTACGATTTGAGGTAAATGACCATGCTTATGAGCAATGCTATTATTTGGCCGACGGTATTTATCCCTCATGGTCGACTTTAGTGGAGACCTTCAGCAATCCAAGGTCAAACAAAGAGGCTTTGTTTGCTCAACGTCAAGAAGCACACCGCAAAGACGTAGAGGGGGCATTTGGAATCCTCCAATCAAGATGGGCAATTGTTCGTGGCCCTGCAAGAGCTTGGGATGTTGTCACACTGAACAATATAATGTTGACGTGCATTATATTACACAACATGATAATCGAGGATGAGCAAGTTGATTCTGATGATGAGATGGATGATGACCTTGATTATGAGGTCTATGAACAACCTCAACCAATCAACCGACACGTTCCAACTCTGGTTGATTATTTGGCTAGAAATAATAGGATTCGCTCCTCAACAACACATCATGCGCTTCAAAATGACTTGGTTGAGCATCTTTGGAATTTGCAGGGCAATAACTAGTATTGTTTAATTATGGATTGTATTGCTTGTTTGGTAGTTTGTATTTCAAGTTTCAATGTGTGATTGTATTTCATGTTTCAATAAAGTGTGTTTTGTAGTTAGTCAAAAGATTCAATAATGACTAGTTTTTTTATTACACGTGAAAATGCTCAAAGTTCAAATACAACACAAAACACACCACATAAAGCAATAAAAGCCTCAATTAGTACACATAGGACCTTCTTCTAATCATAATCCATAACAGGAAAGTAATCACCTCCACTTTCATCTCCATCTCCTCCACCACTTGCATCTCCATCTCCGCCATCTCCTGGATTAGAGTTGGGATCATCTTGATCGTACCCATAGATGTCATTTTGTTTACTCCTCCAAAATTTCTTCTTTCTTGGTTTCATCTTTGACAAATCCTTCTCCAGAATATTCATATTTTGTTGAAGTATTGCGGCCTCCCTCTCTTTCTTCTCAAGAGCCCATTGTTCCGCTTTCTGCTCCCTCACTTACCTCTTGTATGCCCATTCCTCGGCTTCCCTCTCTAGTCTCCTCTCTTGAAGATTAATTTTTCTATTTTCGTACTCCATCCTCGACTTTTGCCTCTCTCTCATATCATTACCAAACTCTAGCAGTTGAGTAGTGTACATGTCTGACGATTCCGCAACTACCTTACCTTTCTTTTTTGTTACCTTTTGTTTGTCGCGTCCTTCAGGGCGAGACAGCACGAAAGGCGTAGCTCCCTCGTCTGGTATGTCGTCGAGGCCTTCCACAGGGGAGGATTGAGAACTAATACCTATGGGAGAACTTTGAGAACCTTGACCGATAGGTGGAATTGGACCGACAACCAATTGAGGGTCACAATACCACTTTGGGCAATTTCGAAGGATGACCCAACAATGCTCATGTTCAAAGGCTTTGTCCCCATTCTCTTCCTTGTATATTCTCCTTGCTACAAATTCCTATCAAAATTATTAATACACAAGTTAGATAAGTAAATATACATAAAAATAAGAAATACAAAAGTTAAAGTTTCCAAAACAATACCACATCAACTTGGTTGGTACCGCTCGTTTGACTCCTCTCCGCCCTCTGCAAAGCTCCCTTCCAAACTTTACACTTGTTACTGATAAGTCTCAGTCGGGATTCCATTGAATCCGTAGTACGAATTGTTGTAGGATCGCTTCTTCGAAATTCCCTCTCCACCCTTTCCCATAATCTCGTGCTCTTTTGATTGATGCCAACCGCTCCATCTTCAGATATTGATATCCAAGATTTGCACAAGTTTACATCTTCATGAGCTTTCCAATTGGGTCCTCTCTTACTTGACATGTTTTTGTTTTGAGAGATGATAAATAGATGAGAATGAGAGAGATTGATTTGAGAATGAGTGCAGAAAAACCATGAGAAGTTACCCATTATATAGAAAAAAAAATATGACCGTTTTATGGCCGTTAAAATGTGTCCGTTGCAATGTGACCGTTTTATTGTCACTATATTACTTCTTTCAAACTAAAACGCAAACACACCCACACAAATAACCACTCAAACAAATTGAAAAAAAAAAGACAGCAGCAGAGGGACCCCGCGTGCAGGCGAAGACCACCCGCGGAGGCGCGCCTGGGCCGCACGCGCGCGGGAGTCACCTCCACTTGGGGTCCCCCTTCCAGCTGCTATTTTTGCCACTTTTCTCCATGGAGGCTGCTACCTATCCACCCCAACACTCCCTTCTCCAAATTTGGAAGCTAAATTATTGATGGGTTGGAGATGAAAAAAGGCAAAAATTTCACTTTCTCCAAATTTGCAAGCAAGGATTGGAGTTAGTCTAATCAGAGCCCATCAACAACATTTTATGTGTCAACTTGAGGCAACTATGTAGATGCTATTATATTGCCGGGACATATTCAAAAAGACCTGGAATAGGTCAATCCATAACTCAGCAAGAACTTCAACATTTACAACTGGAAGATTCCATGTGCCGAATGTGTCAATCCATAACTCAGCAAGAACTTCAACATTTACAACTGGAAGATTCCATGTGCCGAATGTGGCGATTGGCCTTTGCCTGGTAGTTTATAAGGTAATTTCCCAAGTCTTGACCATTCAACTTTGGGAGTTTCTTACCTCTATTATTGGGCCATTACTAAATGGTTTTGTTAAGGGTCATCTCATCATTGACAATATTTTGCTGGTCAGGAAGTGCTTCACTTCCCGAAGAACAAATCATGTCATTAACTTGAGGAGCTTTCATGGCCTGGCTGGTTTTTAACGACGATTTGTGTCAAATTTCAGCACCATAGCCGCACCATAAACTTCAATCATCAAGAAGAATGTTGTTTTTCTGTTGGGGTGAAAAGCAAGACAAGGCATTCGTGCTACTCAAGTACAAGCTTACTCATTCTCGTATTCCGTGTCTGATACCACTTGTCACGGACAACCAGATGACAACGTTCTTGATACAACCAGATGGCAGCGTAAATTCCAATCATGAAACCTCTGCTCTGCTCCATCAACTTTGATAAGTTCTGGATCTTGCCCAAGTGTTCTACTGCAGTGTAGTTCTATTTGTGTGCGGATGCCAGCCCTCCTACAATTCCAGTCTTTGGAGATTAGGAAATGTTTCACTGGCAGCATAACAAGAAATTGCATAAATCCACACATTCAACTAAGAGGTATCTACACGTTATCACTTTCTGTGAGTAAATTCCCGTGTTGTTATATCTTTCTTTCTGCACCCCCACGCACAACATGGTGAATTAGTTAATATGCTCCTCGTTTTTCTTTTATTTTACTCACCTTTTCATGTATGTATCAACAGAACCCTCAGTGACTCCAGGATTGTCGAACAGTTAGCCAATGGCAAATGTAGATGTAAAACCAAACCATAATAAACAAAACAACAGTCATTTGTGTTTCCAGCAGCTTCAGAAAGCCCAAGATACAACAGAAATGCATACCTTGATTCAAAACTTCAAACATTTAACAAACAAGCCTTCAAGTTCTCTATGAGACCCTCTTCTATGCTTCATTGAGATGGCCAATAGCAGCAACCAACTTCCTTTTTTCTTTTTGAACCTTTACAGCAACAAAAATACATTTCAGAGTCGACACTTATTCCATCATTAACCCAGCAAGTGCAATTGATTCATGAATATATCATTTACCTGCGACTCTAATTCAGCTATTCTTTGTATCGATGCTAGTTCAATGGAAGCACGCCGTTTGCGCTCTTCTTCAAGTAAACTTGTTGTTTCGTACCTCAACTCAGCCATTTCTTGTGCCAAGTCTTCAGCTTCTTCCTTTGCTTTTAATTTGAGCTCTTTCAGTTCTTCCTAGTAATAATAAGAAAGTTAACATCACCACAGTTAAATTGTAAGCGTTCAAGACTCCATTTAAACTTCTCTTCAATTGTTAAGCACGTTCAGTTTGATTATTAATCTCATTATCCAAATCCAAGTCAATTTGGTATCCCCATAAGACTATAACTCGTACCTTAAGGTTTCTCACAATAGCTTCATAGTCGTTTATCAGGCATGACATACTGTTAAGTTGCCCCTTTGAATCCCCTTCTGCTTCCAATAGCATTGGGAGCTTCAAAAAGAGTTCACCAAGCACCTCCCCACAAGCACTTGACACATAAGAAAAATACGTTATAGCATCAACAAGCACATGAGTTTCCATACAAATACAAGCACAAAAGGTATTGAATAAATGCTCCCAAGTCACGTTTATGAGCTGAAAGTATAACTCAGATACAAGTTACACAAAGAATAGAAGGGTAGGTCTTCGACAATGGATCACAAGAGTATAAGACTGCAGCATTCATGTACCACTGTCATCAAAGGTGAAATTCAATTTGCTGATGTAAGTATTGAAATTGCCAAATCAAGACCATCAACCATTTCTCAATTTTGGGATCAATGGTTTCTTCTTCAGTAGCTTCACTAACTTAACCCAACATCAAAAGTATTAATGACTTATAACGCGTACTTTGGGTAAATTACACCCCCACTGAACTGTATGTAACTTATCAGTTAAAGACTAAATTTCTTGACAGCAGGTTAATCAAAATTATAATGCAACTAGAGAAGCAATTTAGTAAAAGTAATATAATTCATTATTCAGATGGAGGCGTTGAAGTTGGTAACTCACCTCATTTCATTAGACACCTTTGTACTGCTTCCGGTCTTGCTACACGTGGGTTTTAGCACTTTGTCAATCATCTGAAGATATTCTTGAGCACTTATTTCTGATGCCCTCAGCTTATCTCTCAGTTCTTTATTTTCCCTTTCTAAATCTTCAGCAGCTTTTTGATTATTCAGAATCTGAATCTCCAGTTCTTTGATTAGCTTATTCATGGATACATTTTCTTGAATGGGTTCTTCTTGAGCTTTTTGAACTTCAAAGGAAGGTTGCTCTAAAACCATCATATCAAGCTTCATGCCCTCAATTTCGCACAGAGAATCTAGGGTTACAGAGCAAATTGACTCCTCTAGTGTCTTTATAACTAAAGATGAACGTTTCAGCTCCACCTCTTTGCTATATAGTTCTTTAATCAACAACTGATTTTCTGACTTGGACCGTTCTAATTCGTCACATAATTGGTGATTCTTCATTTCTACATCATGCACCTTGACTAATTTTAACTCGAGCTCATCGACATGCTTCCCTAAACTGAACACCTCAGCATTCCTTGCACTGAGTTGATCTTGAAAGTAATCTATAAAAAAATAAGTGACTTGGTTGAGCAAAGTAAGAAAGGAATATGAAAAGCAAGAAACCTATATAAAGACTTAGCTTACCTATCTCTTGAGAGCAATTTAATAGCTCCCTTTCCAACATTTCTATGCGTCTTGTGTCTTTCGCACGAGCCCCAGTCAGAGACTTCACATGTGATTCTAACCCCTGCAAATAATGAACTTAGTAGAGAATCATCACTAAACCTCTCAAGATTCAACCTTTCCATTGTTCACTCTGTTACCTTAAAAGCACCAAAAGCTTCTTAATCCTCATAGAAAGAGCACAGAAGCCAAAATTAGGTGAAGGGTTCAGATACAATCTTCTAAGTTCTACCTCCCAGTATCAAGTATTTCAGGCTGGCAATTCAACTTAATCCACTTGGAAGAACACACGAAAACCAAAATGAACACTAGTTGGAACAAAATGAAAAGAAACATATCCTTAAGTTCAGATACTATGCCTCGCTAGCTACTCAAGGGCCATATTGGTGAAAGACAAATTTCATACCGAGCTACACACAAAAAGAAAAAAAAAAAAAAAGAAATGAAATTGAACTAGCTCCAATCCACACTTACTCAGGGAAATGAATCCGTACAAACCAAGGATGGATAGTTACCCTTAAGAATTCAAAGCTCTGGGGCTGTGATTCTCTCAGCATGTCCTTCTCTTTCCAAAGCTGAATCAAGACAAAATTTAAAGGGGATGATGGAATGACATAATAGCAGACAATATCTGGAGAAATTTGGAATACTAAAACCGAACAAGTTCCTTTTGACCACAATCATTGATGGCGTCTAAGCAATCGAGAAAGGGGAAAGACAGAAGCTTTTTTACCTCCCGGCATCTCGTCTGAATCTGCAGAAGTTCGTCGACATCAAAAGGACTGTCGTTATCACTCCTTGAGTGCCCAGACATCATCAACAGTCTGAAAGATGCGACGCATCAATCGCCCGGAATGAGAACCACCGGAAATTGGGCAGATTGAAAGAAGAAAGTTACGGAAAGAGGGAAAGAGGTACAAGGCCGAAGAACTCGGAAAACGAAGTCAGGAGTCAAGTAGAACTGTAGAAGGGATTTAAGGGAGAAGAGATGAAAGAATAAAGATTAGGGATTGCCCCGTCTGTTAATTTTTGGCTAAATACAATTGCTAAATTTTTCTGGTCAAATTTTTTTAAACCAATTTAATATCCAAAAATGAAACTCAAATTAGTTGCCACTATAGGTGTCAATCGGGCGGGTTCGGGTCGGGTTCAGGCGGGTCGCGGGTTAATCGGGTTGCGGGTCAAACGGGTTGCGGGTCAAGCGGGTTCGGGTTGATCGGGTTGCAGGTTGATCGGGTTGCGGGTTGATCGGGTTGCGGGTTGATCGGGTTTGGGTTGATCGGGTTGCGGATCAGTCGGGTTACGGGTTGATCGGGTTGCGGATCAATCGGGTTCGGGTTGATCGGATTGCGGGTTACAACAGGTCGGGTTGCGGGTTGTTCGGTCCACACCATCGAGTTTTTTTATAATTAGTTATTACACTAAATTTTTTTTTTTTGAGAGAGTTATTACACTAATTTAAAACAAACTCACCGATCACCAAGCACGAGTCAAGTCGTGCCGTGCCTGATCATGTTTATGTCGTGCTTTTATTTTGTTCACATTCGTGCTTATTCGTGCTTTCTAGTGTAATTTAACTTTCATTCTTATTTTATATGGTAACACACGCTTTTAATATTCCTTACTCAACTTCATCTACAAATTATTAACTTCATGTAACTTTAATTAAATAATAATATCTAGCACTGCATTTTCGCGTAGCTAATTATAAACACGAACTCTTTGTAACATGAGATTCTAACATTAATATGAATAACTGATACAAATATCATTTATGGATCAGTGGTAAATAACATACAATTAAAAAAAACTCATTGTTGTATGATGAAACTCAACCTAATGAGAACCAATTACAGATCTATGAGATAACATTTTCTTGCTCTGTAACTATAGTTTCCAGGTCTGCCTTTTCTTCATCGATTCCATAATTTTGCTTTCAATTGTCCGCTCAAACCATTTAAGACCTTCAAGCCTTTCCCACCCTAGAAACATAATTCAAAGGAGTTCAAAGTTACTACTCTCTCTAGCAAACTCAACTGCTGAAGCAATCAGAAATAAATAAACCATATACAAAGCACTACGAACACTTGTCCAGTCCCAAGAAGTCATGACAAAACAGAGTAGAAGCACATCATAATAGCTCATCTAAAAACAACTTCATAGAAGCTCACAGCCCTCAAACTTCATCCTCACCAGTTACAACTATCCAAACCAAGCAATAAATGTATGGCGTCAGTGATTCCTGCAATTTCTTGTACAACCACCTACCTACCTTATATAATTAATCAACTGCAATTTCTTGTACATCATAATAGCTCATCTAAAAACAACTTCATAGAAGCTCACAAAAGCTTACAGAAGCTACTGCTAACATGAAATCCACCTTATCAAAATTGTACACAACCTTTTTAATGATACATGACAAGAAATCTTCATGATAATTTCAGAAGGTTTGTACAAATTGTGAAGCCATTACCATTAGGCACTTTAGCATTATTGCTTCAGTGATGATTTCACAGTATGGAAGGTAAGGTTTGATGCCCAAACACATACCAGACCCTTTCATGTTATCTCTTTTTCTGCCTTTCGTCCTCTCAAATAAGCTCAAAGATTAATGAAGCCTATTGCAGATTTGCCAACAAGCAAGTATAGAAGTACAAACCATCTGAAGATCAGCATAATGGAGAACATCAAATATTAATGACATACAGTTTAAAGAGGCATCCTTGCAATTCCAGCAGAATAAAATTTATAAAGAGTATCGTACAAGGACATGAGCAATCAAATGTTACCTTGAATTCAGTGGGTGGTAGCTATTGCTTGCATCTGCCAGTCAAAATAAATGCTTTGGTTAAGCAAATGGCCTCTTTTCATCCTCTAAATCCAGAAAATCAAGAAATCAACACCAGCCTTCTTCGATTTGGGGAAGCGCAGGTGAACCAGCAGGCAGAGGTTAAGGAAAAATCCCCAGATCAAGCGCTTGGAAGACAAATCGAGTGGTGGATCTTCTCCTGTTGCTCTGCAGCTCAGAGAAAGACAGATCGAGCGGCTGATCTTCTTCGGTTGTTCTCCAAGGTGGCGAGCGATTCCTGGAGATTGAAGGCGGTGGCGATTGCTTGCGGCTACTCGACGAAGAGGAGATCTCGATGGCGGAAGGGGAAGCACCGGAGAGGAGGAGAGAGGGCAGGGGAACCATCAGATATGACGAGAGGGTTGCTGGGTTTGTTCGTCGTAGAGGAGAAGAGGGTTTCTGGGTTTGTGTTTGTTCGTTGGAGAAGAGAGAGGGCAGGGAAGGGGGAGAGATGAGCACATGGGAGGAGGATCGTGATATGTTGGGTCTGGAAAAAATAGTAAAGATTAAATAATAAAGGAAATTTGGCCACTAAAATTTTGGGCGGGTATGGAAATTTGGCGGTGAATTTTTTGGGCGGGTATGGTTGAGGTGAATTTTTTGGGCGGGTATGGAAATTTGGCCACTAAAATTTTGGCGGTCATTTAAAACACTAATAAAATTTGGGCGGTAAGTGGAATTGTGTCGGTTCATAACAAAATCGACCCAAACCAACAATAGTTGTGTCGGTTACAAGTAAAACCGACTCAAATATGCTGAAAATTGTGTCGGTTTAATTTTAACCGACACAAAATTGGAGAAAATAGTGTCGGTTAAGTAACCGACACAAATCTTCTACACAAAATAGAATTTTAGTGTCGGTTAAGTGAACCGACTCAACTCAACCGACACTAAACCTCTGTTTTCTTGTAGTGCACAAAGCATAACCATGAAGAAACCCTAACCCTAAACCCTAAACCCTAACCCTATAACACCATTTTAAATCTGAAACCTAAAACTAACCTTAACCATCAACCATACATTATCCTAAATCACAACATTAAGTAATTAACCCTAAAACTAACCTCAACCCTTAACCATAATTCCATAACCCAAACATGCAAACAATGAACTCTAAACCATGACCCTATACGGCTATACCTTATACTATAGTTATATGTTATGAAATTGTTGGAATAAGCTACAACGTATGTTATGTGAAGAATGTAAGTTGAGTCAATTTTATATTCGGTTATTGAGAAGAACATATGTCCTATGACTCCAAACTCTAAACCACGAGTCCTCTACCGTATACCCTATGCACTAACCTTAAACCATGAACTATAGTTATGTAGTATGAAATTGTTGGTTATTGAGAAGAACATATGTCCTACGACTCCAAACGTTTAATATCCGTATTTAATGAAATGAATTATTAACTTTACTATTTTTACATATTGATTTATTTATAAAAGTAATTAGTTTTATATATTTATAACTATTAACATACTATTAAACGTAACATTACCTAAGAGACGAAGTATAATACCCGTAAGTATTTTATACGTAACTTTCTCGTACCATATTTTACTAACTATGCTATACATTAAGTGGATTTTATGTATTATTAAATTTACTATTTTTACATATTGATTTATTTATAAAAGTAATTAGTTTTATATATTTATTACTATTAACGTACTATTAAACGTAGCATTACCTAAGAGACGAAGTATAATACCCATAAGTATTTTATACGTAACTTTCTCGTACCATATTTTACTAACTATGTTATATATTAAGTGAAGTTTATGTATAAGTTGACATACAAAAACATTAAAGGAATTTTATGTATAAGTTGACATACAAAAACATGTTAAAAAAATATGTCTCTACTGGGCGAACCGTTTCCCTCTGATGGGAAAGACCAACACATAAGCCAGCTAGTCCACGTAATTGATTTGTTACAATTTGAACTTGTTGTTTATTTGATTCAACTAAAAGGCAGAGAGACCATAAAGTATTATGTGATTCAATTTACCGAGACAGTGAGACTATTATGTGATTCAATATAATGACAGTTGTCATTTGTCAACACAAAGTAAACCTTTGTTCTTGGTGGGAAAGATGAAAAAATAATAGGGCAAGTCAAGTAAACTTTATATATATTATTTACATATAATATTTATGCACAAAAACATATTATGTAGTATTATTCGTGCCAATCGGGCGGGTTCGGGTTGGGTTAATCGGGTTTGGGTTAGTCGGGTTACGGGCCAAGCGGGTTACGGGTCAAGCGGGTTGCGGGTCAATCGGGTTCGGGTCAAGCGGGTTGCGGGTTATGCGGGTTGCGGGTCAAGCGGATTGCGGGTCGGGCGGGTTGCGGGTCTTTGACTTTTAGTCCAATCGGGTTGCGGGCGGGTCGCGGATCGGGTTGGTTGGGCGGGTTACTCGGGTCGGGTCATGTTTTGACACCTATAGTTGCCACCATGAAGTGGTCAGTTTTATTTCAAATTCTCCTAACGGCATAAGTTGTTAGTATATACGAACTAATATCCAAACGGTATGAATTAGTATTCAAGTCTACTGATTTTACTAAAGTATATAGATAACACAGATTAGTATTCAAAACATCACAAACTAGTATCCAGATAACAAATACCAACTAATATCCACAATCAACCAACTAGCGGTGGCTATACGGTCCGATCCGGTTAAATTGGTCCAAATTGATCTGGTCCAGTTCGGTCTTTTTGAAAATATAAGGACCAAAGATTGGATTGGATACAATCTGGTTTTGATCCGGTCCGGTCTCAATTCGGTTTTGATTTTATATTGAGCTTGTGGGAATTTAAGTGGCCTAAGCCTGAAAGGGTGAGGAGTTGATTAAGTTTTGTACTAAATGCAAAGGTTTGTGACCGTTTATGCAAATTACCCTTAGTTTTGGGTGTTGAGCTCTCTTATCCGGTCTTTACCCAGTTTTTGTTCCGGTCCCAAACGAATTTTTTACATCAAATCTAAACCCAAAGATTGGATTGGATTGTTTACTATCCGGTCCCGGTCCGGTCTCAGTCCGGGTTATACGGTCCGATTTCGAGTAAAACCAAAAAACTCGGACCAAATAGCAGCCCTACAACCAACTAGTATTCAATATGGATACTCTTATGTGTTATCTGGATACTATTATGTGTTGTCTAGATATTAGTTTGTGAATTTGGGATAATAGTTGATTCATGGTGGATATTAGTTAGCAAACCATGAATACTAGTATGTGCTCTCTATATACTTTAGTAGTATTTATTTTGGATATCAGTTAGTATCTGCTAACGAATCTTCAAGTTAGCAGATTAACTTTATCCATTTTATTTTCCATTTTTTAATTTCAAAATTATCGATTAATTTCCTAAATTTAATAAATGGGTGGTATTCGGCTACAGACAGGGTCAATAACTCTATGGTGCATAATCTTGCATAAATAAATCTGAATCTTTCATTTTAAGTGGGTTACGGGTTGTCAATTAAAGTCTTTTTATTTTCCGTAGTGTTTTTAATCGGCCCTATCTTATTCGTTCTAATTTGGATTTCAAATTTATTGCAGAGATGGAACGAGTTCATTATGCTCTACATAATGAGATCCATTTTCAATATATTTTGAGAAAAAAAATTATTTACTCATACCACTCGTTACCACCTTCGTACCAAATGATATCTCCTAGTCGACTTTGAAATATTTTGCATAAAAGTAACGAGTTCAAAATGATCTATGGGATCTACAAATTTTTAGGAAAAAAATAAAATGCCAATAATGGACCCGATTTTCGCAAAAACCACCTAAAAAAACCTTAACTCCCAAAAAAACTCACTTAACACGTGTTGTACTTTTACGAAAGCATTCTTCCAAGCTCTACAAAAATTCGCAATCAGATCGCACCGAAAACATCCACCGGGAGAGGTCCTGGAGGTTGCGCGTAGCCTACACGCGTCGGCCGACCACCTCCAACCGATCAACTCTTCCTCCACCTCTCTTCCCCTTTTACATGGCCAACCTCTCTACACGCCAAAACCCAATGCAAAGTTACATGTGGTGATGTGAGGACCATTTTCCTCATATTTTTTGCACCATTCGCCTATCATTTTCCACCTTTGTCACTCAGACTTCCATGCACGCTTTCACCGTAATTTTATGTAAAATCAAGGAACTAATATTATGTCATTTTCAAATTCTTCTTACCTTCGTTGATTGAAGCATTTCATATTCTAGCTTCCTTCATTTTCTAACTTAGTTCATCAATGGTTTACATGTGTTCTTCATCATCGTACCAAAATGTGACCACTTTGGCCAAGTGTTAGCCTTTGGAAAGATGATGAAGATGTGTTGTCTTACTTGCCATATCAATGACAATGAGGTTAAGGTTACATGTTCATCAAGGAATCTAGAGTATGGAATAGGGTTAACTCGCGAGTCGATTTGGTTAACGACGAGGTTATGAGAAAAATAGCCTGTATAGGAAGTCGTTCCAAAAATATAATGACAACCTCCCCGAACCGACTTGTTAATTAACCCAACTTCATCTGCATACATTTCTTAACTTATTGCTTGATAAATAAGTTAAGTTACCTAGCCAACTAGGTTAATGACAAGGTTATAGAAAATAACTCGTATAGAGAGTTGTCACGGAATATTCACGGAACTATACATTCCCAAGATTATATATTGACAACTCCCCTAAGTTGGTTTGGTTAATTTATCGTACCTAATTTTTGTGTTTATTGATTACTTGCACGGCAAGCAAGATAAATCACCAGGCCGATTTGGTTAACGACGAGCTTGTGAGAAAATATGACCTGTATTGGAAGTTGTCCCGAAAGAATTCACGGAATTATACAACTCCCCCAAATTAGTTTGATTAATTTATCTTACTTCATTTTAGTGCTTTTTGATTCCTTGCATAGCAAGTCGGCTAGAATGTCAAGCCGGTTAGGATAACAAGCCGGTCAGGAAAAATAACCAGCTTGGGAAGTTGCCTCGGAATTACATGACAACTTTCCCAAGCCAACTTGTTAATCTATCTGACTTCAAGTTATTGTTTTTTACTAATTCCATACATGTTATGTAAGTTAGATTATCAAGCTGACTAGGATGACAAGCAGGTGAGAATAATGGGGCTGGAAAACGGTGCGGTCTGGTTCAGACCAGACTATATATATGGTCTATGGTCTAGATTGAGAGGCTGAAGTATAAACAACAGACCAGACCACAGATTATACGGTCTGGTACAGACTACGCCTGTGCGGTCTGTTTCGGTTTGGTCTGGTCCAGATAGACCACACTCAACGAAAAATGAATAATTTGTTTAGTCAACCACACAAAAAATTGAACCAATAACCAAGAAAAATAATTGGTATTTGCCTTAAAACATTAATCCTAACATGCATGAATAATTTTGATACCCTAAACCTTAGTACATAACAAAAATACAAAGCAAAAGCATCCAAACTTGCACCATACCGTCATAAACATTAGCATAATGTCATATGGAGACACGATTATCTCTACTCTCTAGTTAAATGTGGCTGTGAATGAAGGAGGGACGAGATTCACAAAACTAAGGTTGAGACTTGGATGTCGTTGTGGGAGTTGGGAGAGTGGTCGAATGGGCTGTTAACACGTATTGACAAGTCGGTTGGGTCCACGGTTTGGTCCGGTAAACCGCGGTCTAGACCAGACCAGACCAAGAGATCAACACATAAAATAATGCAGACCATGGACCAGAACAGACTATATTTAACGGTCTACGGTCCAGACTAAACTATGCGGTACGGTTTAGACCACGGTTTTTCTAACGGTCTGGTCTATTTTCCCAACCCTAGAGAATAATAACCAACTTAGAAAGTTGACCCGGAATATGTCCGGAATTACATGTCAACTTCCCCATTCCAGTTTTCAACTTCACCTAAATGCTTTTCGATATGTATTTTACATGCAGAAGTTGGGAATATTCTGACTTGCGTGATAATTCCTCCTAATTTTCTATCTTTCTTGCTTCACAAGTCTCGAATTGGAGCCTTCAAATTTGACAGGTAATGATCCCGATCTCTTGATATTTCTTCATGCCTATTAATCTAACCTAGTGCAGATCCTAATAACTCAACTTATAGGATAATTCATAGTGGCTTCATATTCTACAATGGTTGTAAACCTTAGCCTTGACTGACATCCCAGGTTGACATCCTAAGTCGCCACACGGATATAGGCTGTCACTCCCTGAATTACTTGTCATACTGGACAAGTTCACATCCTAAATAGGTTCTCCCGTCTTCATGTTGCTTCTCACTCCTTCACATCCTACATGCATGAGCTAACAAGATAAGCTAAAGCAATTCCCACTTGAATTGGATGGCTTGTTACTGCTTCATACGCCTTCTTAACGCTTGTCAATCAAACTAGTAAGCCGTGTAGGATGTCAAGGACATTAGAACGTGAAGATGTGAAGCTAGGATGTTGAGGTGAACTCCCTTACTTGGTGAGCAAGCAAGAGAGGGGCCGCTTTACTTATAAATAGGGGCCTCCCCTCACCATTTCCATCATCCCACACTTCACCATTTCACCCCCTCCATACACAAGGGTGAAAAGTTATCTCTCTCTTCTTTTCTCTATACGATTTGCAGAGAGACGAGTTCTGCGCTCTTTTGGTTTCAAGAACCTTACTCAAGAACAAAACAAAGTGTACCTTTTCTCCCTAATAGGCAGTTTCCCAAGGAAGTTGGTGATAGAAAAATCATCAATAGCAAGGATTGATCTTATGGGATCCAGAGGGGTTAGAATGATGGTGAGTTGCTAATGAAAGAGAAGGGAGAGAGAGATGCACCACTTGTTACACTGAGAGGAGTTGAAAGTGTTTCTAGTTTGGCAGACTCCCTTTCATGAATTCTCACCCCCTACACAAAAACAACCTATTAACTTAAAAAAATGAATCAGCAATAACAAGTGGAACATTTCAGTCTTAGAACCTAAGGATTATAATCATGTGAAAAAAAATGTAGCTACCACGGGAAAAAAGAACTCAAAGCATTCACTTTGCCTCTTTAAGCTATGTTATCTTTTGCTGCTTCATCCTTTCCTATGCCTTGGTGAAGCTAATGTATATGCACATTCAACAAAACCTACATATGATTCAATGAGAAATTTCCACCCAAAGAAACAAGTTATTATGAGTAAACTGTACAGGTGTTGACAATGGACATCGGTGAATGATATATCACCAATTTGGAACTCCATTTCTTGAGTTCACAGCTTCAGGACACCATTCTTGTAGAGAAAACAAAGAGCATATCTTATCGTTTCTGTTGTTTGGGGGAAAGAATTGGTGGTGGCCCTAGCTTGATTTCAACCTCCAGTTATACTAGTTAATCATCTATTATAGCTCCAATTGAGTAAACTATTGAGCCTGTGTTTCAGGTTCTCTGGGGCATTTCAACAAGCCAGCCTAGCACCCAAACAAACATATGATTCGTGATTCCCATGACACTAAATTAGAAATGAGATCAATCAAGCGAAGAAAACATCATGATCGTGAAATGATAAAGGAAGGAAACAACAACGGAGAGTTGGAGAGGCGATTGAGAATTGAAATTTTAGGGCTTGAAAAAAAAAAACAATAGAGAGAACCAACTAAATCGAATGTCGTCCTAAATCATACCCCCTTCACATTTTAGTAGACGGTGGTTGTAGCTTACATCTCCATGAATGAGAGCGATGAGGATGGGCGGTTGTCGTTAAAATTTGCATCCTTCATCCTTCATGACATATGCTGCTAATTAAATACGCCGTCAAGGAGAGAGTCAATGCTGCCTCCATATATACAACCCTAGTGGTGTAAAATCTGAAAGGTAGCAAGAGCCTTCATTGTCATTTTCAGAGATGTTTGTTAATCTAGGGTTTGAGATACGTGAAAATAGAAAAGATCGCAAGACTCTTATATTAAAATGACAAGGGAAGACATAAATTCGAACGAAAGTCGGTTGGTTGTTTGAGGGAATGGATCAGGTCAGTAACCTTATTCTGAGTAACCATGAGTAACCCGTCCACATCAGCATGACATCAGCATCCTCTCTCTCATAGAAAGCCTTTAATTTTTCCCTCTTTAATCTTTGACGGACGATTTCTCGCTCATTTTAAGTCGAAATTTAATTTTTTTTGCACAGTTAGATCAGATTAATTGTGCTCTTCAAAATGATATCCACTTTAATATATTTTTCGAACAAAAAAAATTGAGCCATTTTTTACCAGCCTATACCATATGGTATTGACTGGTATTGAAATAAAAGCATACCTATGTTTTGAAAAACGTACCATGGTGGTATGAACAAACCAATACTGTTGGATAGTTGAATACGTGATAGTAGAAGTATATTAATTGTAATTTACGACTTTTAACATTGTATTGTATTGTGTGGTATTTTTTGGTCCTGTAATTTGTTCACCCAGAAATTGTAGATTCAATAGATCATGATGAACTCGTCCCTTTTATGCAAACGTTTTCAAAAACGAATTAAAAACGAAAAAGATACCATACAATACCACCCCGTACTAGGGTGGTATTGTATGGTATTGTGTGGTATTTTTTGGTTCTGTAATTTGTTCACCGAGAAATTTGTAGATCCAGTAGATCATGATGAACTCGTCCCTGCTATGCAAACGTTTTCAAAAACGAATTAAAAACGAAGACGATACCATATGGTATGCAGTTGGTACCGAGAGGCCAGAATTTTTTTTCCTAAAAAAATATTGAAAATTGATCTCATTTTGTAGAGCACGGTGAACTCGTTCCATTTGTGCAAAAAAAATTAAAATCCGAGTTAAAACGAAAAAGATATGAGTCAATTAAGAAAGCTAGTGAAAATAAAAATAGCCTTTAATTCTCCATCCTTAGATCTGGATTTTCTAAATCAAGGGTCCAGATTTGGTTATTAATGGGTGCATAACCCATGGTTATGCACCCTATCTTGAGCCGTTGTTTGAATGTATACTCATCTTGCGTAGCACTTTGTATTTGTTTCTAAATATATAACTTATTTAATTTATTTTTTATACCTGGAAATATATTTGGAAACAATAGATTTGCATCTATAGATAATTTCTTATAATGAGTAGTATATTATATAGTAGGAAATATGATAACTGTCTCCAAATGTGTAAATTCAATTATCTTATATAAATATTAAGAAAATTTTATGATACAGAAATAATAATATAATATTTCGAAGCAAATAACATATTCGCCCCTATAGATTAGATATAGAGATTAATGCAATAATTGTCTCCAAGTATTTGCCTCTAAAACTATGTTTTCTTGTAGTGCCTGTTGAGCGACGATCTGTTTGTCTGCGGCAATCTAGCAATATGATTTCTATTTCCCACGTTCTTATTTTTGCAGGTTTGATTAAGTTATTCTTTCCGTCGCCGCCAGTCGCTTCCTAGCAAAGATCCTACGGTGGTAGGTAGAAGGAGAAGGCGAGGTGTTTCCCCGAGAAAACCAAATGCCACCGCCGCTGCCGAATTCGTTTCCGGCGATGTTGATTTGATGTCTCGCGATGGAAACTCTTGCGGTGCCGTTTGATCGGATGCACCGCTGCTTGCTGAAATCGATGACGATCGTCAAATATCCACCGGGCGGTGTTGATTTGATCGATGCACCTCTGAATGTTGAAATCGACGTGACCGTCAAATATCCGCCACCGAATGTCGGCGTCGTTGATTTAATCGATTCACCTCTGACTTCTAACCAACGCGACCGTTACTACGGTTCGCACCTCTCCAAACTACGTTCGAACGAGGGTGTTTGAGTTTTTGAGGAATCTACGTTACGACTACTCCTATGGAGATTCCTGTGGAGAGCTCCGCGACTACGACTAAGACTACAACTATGGAGATCCTTCCTGGAAGGAGAGCTCCGCGAAGGAGTTACAGAGAAAAGGTAAAGTTTGAACAGAGTTGATCTGTGTTGATTTTTGGTTGTCTCCTTCTCTCTCCTTGCTCCACTGCTTTTATTCGAAAAACTGCTTCGTAGTCTTCACGCTCGGTGGAACCGCTTCCTGAACTGCTCCGTTGTGAAATCCCACGTGTCTCAACCGCTTCGCTCCTCAAGCTGCTTCGCGTGAACTTTACGTGAGTTGTTTTCATGATCCCGCGATGTCGTTTCCTTTCCCAAACAGCTCCGCTTGATTCTACCCGCGACATCATTTTAATATTAAACGACTCCGCTTCCAGCCTTGCGGTGTCGTTTTCTTTCCCAACCAGCTCCGTTTGTTTTTTTCTTCCGCGACACGGTTTATTATTAAACACTGTCGTTTGCTAGTATAGCGGTACCGTTGGGCTTCCTCGCGGTACTGTTTTTAATTCCGCGGCACCGTTTTAGCTCTCCGCGGTGCCGCTTCTCCCCATCCAACAAGGAATAAAAATAACAATAATTAATTATAAACAAAACTCCTTTTCCAATACCCAACTAACCGCGCGGCCCTTTTTTTATCTTCGGCCAGCGGTGTCGTTTCCGGTGTTGCGGTACCGCTGAGCTTCCTTGCGGTACCGTTTTTTCAGTTTCGCGGTACCGTTTTAACTCTCCGCGACACCGCTCAACTCCAAACGACACCGTTTTTTACCCGCGGCATCGACTTAAATGCCGAGACTAATTAATGCGGCATTTAATCCCGGCCAAATTAATTTTAGGTGTCAACAAATGCCCCCCACAACTTGGTTTATAAGAATTTATGAACCAAGTTGTTCACACAACTTAAATCACCTAAAATTGATTCATATCTAAATTCACTTTGCCCAAAAAAGCATACAATTCACGCCTGAGCAAAAAAAATATTACTTGGCCACAATCATCATAACGTAGCACTACCAAAACAATTTCAATCGTGCTACGTAAGGCTCCAACCAGACAACGTTGCAAAGGCCAGCCGTACTGATTTGGCCTCAATAAAATCCAACGACCCTGCTTGTAACACGGCTTAGGTGTGTTCCGCAACACTGCTTTGGTAGACAACAGTGGGTTTCCCTCTTGGACAAAATTACCGCTATATGGTAAACAAATCACAAGTCCAATTTTTATTTATAAAATCTTGTGTGCGGCTGTGTTTATCCCAACCACAACCGATTAATCTCGGCTCCCATTGCAACGCTGCAGCGAAGCCCGCAATGCTGCTTTAGCGAAACGACAATGCTTGAACTTTTTTTTTCCTTTAATTAAAATTTGGCCAAATTAAATTCCAATAACTTTGCTTTATATAACTTTGGCCTGCAACGCTGCAGCGACCAAGTTGTTTCTTCTTTCTTTTTTTCTTTCGCAGGCCTGCATCGCGGCCTCGGCCAAAACGGCAGTGTGATACTTTTTTTTATATATTTATCATTGCCGCAAGGATATTTCTTCCAAAAACAGCACTGATTTTTTCATTCACCAGTATTGTTTTGGCGATTTTTTTTTTCAGTTTTTTTTTTTACAGCATTGTGTATCTTTCCCTATCTTCCAACGATGTTGAGAAAAGAGAACAACACCGCTTGTTATTTTGAACTATTGCCAATGATATTGTTGCTTCTTCTTAGCAATGCCGCTTGATTATATTGTATAATATTTTCTCTATAACATATTAGGTGGCCTAATTTAGCCACGTTATTTATTAACAGTTAAATAAGAAACAAACTAGACTTTGGCATAAACCATCATGCCAAAAGTCCACACCCACTGCCAACTCCATCGATCAAACCAAACAAGCCATCCGTAAAGTCCATGATTCATCACAGCTGGCTTCACACGAGTTGGTTTTGATGTTTTGGAATCAATGCTGGCTTGCAAATCCCCAGTTCGTCTAGCTCGAACATCTTTGTTCGAAACTCCACGATCCTGATTTGGCCTAATCTTAGCTTCGCAGAATGGAAAATCATAAGCATTCCTGGCTCTAGACAGGACATTCTCGTCTTTTGGCACCTTTGTCTTGCCAATTCGACCATGCGACATCGCTTGCCTAGACTGGTCTAGTTTTGTCAGCTTCGCACTCTCACCATGTTGTTGGTAGTATGAGCGCCGAGACTTTTCATCAACAGGTACGTTGGTATTTTGCTTATCACGAACATGACTTTCGCACCTATCACACAACAACGTTGCCCCTTTTAAAATTCCACGTGAGTTTGGAGTTTGTTTGGCATTGGCCTTGCCCCCCAGACCACCACTCATGGATTTGTTCCCAGCCAGCACTGGTGTGGCAACCCCATGTCGGGTTTGATCGAACTTGCCCCCCTCTCTACTTAGTGGAGGCTTTGGGGACAATTTACATAGAGGATTCTGTTGATTCATGCCAACTTTGGTGGCATTGGATTTTTTCACGTGGCTACCACCCCCACACTGCAAAGTTTTTGCTGCTATCCTTGTTTGAATTTTCCTAGAATAGGACAGATTTGGCAAACTTATTTGCCACTTGCGATGTTGTTTTTCCATTAACCGACCATGCGGTGGGATCTCATGCCCCCCTAGCGGCTTAGATTGAACACCATTGCGATGTTGCTTAGACAACCCATCATACGTGAGCTTGCTATGCTCGACGCGATTGTAACCAGGTTCTCGACCCTGGTTCTTGTTTTCAATCTTAATAGAAGTAAGTCGATACTGACTTCTTTGTAGTGGTTTTTGCAAGACACTTCCAATTGGTGTGTCCTTTAAAACAACGTTGTTCACAGGAAAGAACACATTGGATTCACTCACTTCTGGCAACAATGTTGTAGCCATCGATGATGGAGTTTGATTGACATTAGCTATTCGACCAACCCT